ATGAGATATTAATTAATAAAATAATATATACTCACTTTTTTATTTGACAATAAAAATTTTAGAATTTAATATAATTTAAATTTTTAACTATAGAAACTCCCTAATATTTGAGTTTATTTAATATATAGTTTAAATATATAGGGTAACATATAATAAATATATTATTTTTAATTAATTTATATAAAAAAATATAAATATTAATTTTTATTTAATAATATTATCACATAAATATTTTTAATTGACTAATTAAATAAGATTGAGTCAATACTTATATTTTTTTATATAAATTAATTAAAAAAATTGATAAATACACTATTAATATTTTAGTGTACACTTAAAAGTGAACAAGATTATAATTACTACTAATTTTGTTCCGACTATCAAAATTTTTAAATTTTAATTTTAATTTAATTATTAAAATAATTAATATTTATTATTTAATAAATTAAAATTAATTTATAAATAAATATTATAACTAATTATTTATTTAAAAAATTATAAATTAATAAAATTACAAACAAAATTAACACTATTAACAAAATCAATTGCACCATAATCTTTTACTTGACCTTTCGAATCAATTGACACCCAATCAATTTAAAATGCATTCTTCTCTCTCACAAACGAGTTTAGAGCGTGTCCTTAAAAATTTATTCAAAAAGAAAAATTGCACCATAGCCTCAATTATTAGGAATTTTCCAACTAAAGTACGTAATGCAGTTAAGAAGGAAAAAAGGCAAAATGTGTTCACGGGCCGACGGGCGACTCGGCTTACGAGAAAAGCAGAGTCTGCAACGGGTTCGAAATTTCAAATTTTGAAAGGTTTAGGAAATAGAAAGGTGGGCCAAACAAAGGCAAATTTAGAACGTGATCGTAATTATTATACTCAATGGTCCTAAATAAAAAGTGGTTAGAAAAAAAAAAATCAAAAACCGGAGAAATATCGAAAATTGACAATTAATTACGTGTAAAGAAAGGGGAATTCAAGGAGGGACAGGTGCAGATTGGCATCGCGTGTTTCACGCACCATTCCCAGAGAGGCAGTGATGTATGCTCATTTGCATTTTGCAGTTCCCCTTGCCTGCATGTCTGTCCGTCATTTTGTCGTCATCCTTTGTTTTGATACCCTGCCCACTATTTAATATTCAGTAACATCTCCGTCCTCGATCAT